TTCTAGACAAAAGCCCACATCGTAAAAAAAAATACCATTTAAATCCAGATTTAAATGGCGATCGTCTCCTTCACCAACAGATTCATGTGCTAACCCGAAAATCTCTGCAAGAAGATGTAGAAGCATGCAGTGGTAAGGATTCATTGGTACGAGCTCCAAGACAGCTTCGAAGCATGTATTTCGTTGAAGGAATTTGACTACGATATCTTCCATTGAAAGAATGAGATGCTTACAAGGTAAGTTATCTTTAATAAGAAAAGCCAATTCTTCCACCATAGCAAATTGATCCATGCCAATGATTTGGAGGTCAAGGGTTGCAGTTGAAATTTGAGACAAGGAACCCTGGATAATATTCAGCACTCGCTTCACATCGCCATCGTTCACAGGGAACCCTGGAATCACCATCACGTCTCTCTCCCTGTTTTTACCAACTCGATCCTCGGACATCATGGGAGAATAAATGTCATGCTACCAACACATCAACAAGGATCGGTGGTAGCATATGGTCTTGAACTTTCCCGATATTTGATCTGAGCCGAGGAGCCTATGACTCTGATACCATGTTATAATTTGTAGGAATATAGAAGGAAAAGAGAATATTTATGTGGTTCAGGCCGAACCCTTACGTCCATGGATCCAAAACCCCAACCGGCTATATCTTCATTATATTGGATGAATGTTTATATCAATAATTTCCTCTTTATATAGAAGACAATCACATGATTAGAGGAGATAATTATGGTATGATAACTTGATGACTAAGTAACTTGGTCTTATCTTCTAAATACCTAACCTTATCAATAGACATATACATCCATAATGATGTATACCAATACAAACCCAAGATAACTATATCCCAATAAATGCTTACGATATGTGTGCTTATAACGTTAACAGGGTGTTTGACAGTATTCTGGTGCAGTTTTGTGATCTTATGAGGGACTTATCCACAACTTATGTTTCACGTGAATTTGATGATGAGGTGGTTTGGAAGCTTTCGAATGATGATATATTCTTGGTAAGATTTGTCTATCTTTTGTTGTATCGTGATAGAGTTAGATGAGAACTGGTTTATCTAAAATCCATTTGGAAATGACGCATACCACATAAGATTCAGATTTTTCTTTGGACTCTGCCACAAAATAATGTGTTTACTATGGATAATTTGCGAAAGAGAGGGAAAATAATTGCTAATTGTTGCATTTTATGCAAAGAAGATGAGGAGACTGGTGACCATTTATTTTTACATTGCAATTTCACTTCTAAATTATGGAGGTGGGCTTTTTTTTTTTTTGGAAAATTACAAAAAACCCCAAAACTGTACTTTTTATGCAACTTACCCCCAACCTAACATTTTCTCTCATTTTTTTTCCCAAATTAGACTTTTTATGTAAAAACCCCCAACCTAATAAAAAAATACCTAAACTACCGTCCCTTACTTTTACCTTACCCACACCTCTCTCTCCTCTATCCCACCAAAATAGGGGGTTCCGGCACCGTGTAAGTGTGGTTCGGCAGTAGCGCTCCGGCACTGTGTAAAGTTCACTGTGTAAAGTGTGGTCCGGCAGTAGGGCTCCGACACTTTGTAAAGTGCAGTCCGGCAATTGAAAAGGACGGTCCGGCAATTGCAAAGGGTGGTCCAACAGTTGCAAAGGGCGGTCTGGCACTTGTGCGTTCCGGCAATGTGATGATGGGCTCCAGCAATGTGCTACTAGGGTCCAAAAGTCAACATTATTTTTGTATACGGGACTAAAAAAAATGAATTTTTTTTCTTGGGGAGTATTTGCATAGAAAGGTGTTTTTTGGGAAAAAAGTGAGAAAAAAAAAAGTTAGGTTGGGAGTAAGTTGCGTAGAAAGTGTAGTCTTGGGGTGTTTTTTGTAATTTTCTCTCTTTTTTTTTTTTGATAGATATTCCATTACCTTTACCTGGCCAACATACTCATATTATTGATCATCTATCTTTTCCTTTCTTGCCGAAGGTAGGAGTAACGATTTATTAGTTCTTTCGAGCCTCGATTTTGTGGGAGGTTTTGCTTGAAAGGAATAGACGGATATTCGAGGGTAATTGTTTGGAGTTGACTATGATCAAGGAGAAGATCCTCCAAAATATTTGGTTGTGGCTATCCGTCAGCAAAGAAGGATGGGGGATCTTTAGGACTAATGTGCTCCTAAATCTTAGGTCTTTGATGCTTTTTAGGAAACATAGACTCGTTATTCAAAGAATGTGGATCCACCTAGTAGAGGTTGTATTAAACTCAATTTTGATGGGAGCTCTTATCGGAATCTTGGGCCTGTTGGTTTGGAGGGTTTTGTTTCAGATTCTTACAGGAAGGAAATCTTATTGTTTTACGGCCCTTGTGGGATTGCTACTGCTAACAATGTTGAGTTTATGGTTGTTCTGCAAGGGGTAAAAATTCTGAAAGATAATTATCCTTTGGTGGGGTGGGTGATTACGGCCCTTGTGGAATTGCTACTACTAACAATGCTGAGTTTATGGTTGTTATGCAAGGGGTAAAAATTCTGAAAGATAATTATCCTTTGGTGGGGTGGGTGATTCAAAGGGACTCACTTAATGTTATTAAATGGTGATCAGGATTGGGTGAGCCTCTATAGAGTTATAGGAAGCAGTTGATGCAGGTTATGGATTGTTGCAGAAATCAGGTGGTTAGTTTTAACTATGCTTATGGGGAGGCTAATGTGAGACTTGATTCTCTTGTTAAGGACAGTGTTCATGCTAATCGTTTGATTGTTTCTACTTTATCATTGTAATCGTGGTAGTTTATCTTGAATAACATTCTTGTGCACCTGTCAAATAAAAAAAATAAAAAAAATAAAAAAATATATATATATAGAACCAAAGTCAGCAAACCATTAGCGTTTTTGAGAAATTTATCAAATTAATATTGGATTAACAATTTGCCCATATCTTTTGATTTAATTCAAAGTACCCCATGAAAATCACATTGTCTTGAGTTTGAATAATTGCTAATAAACAAAGTATAAGATGGTTCATCTCTTATTGGCTTTTTTGATAAATTTCCATATATTTTCATAAAAGTATATAAAAATCAATTTTAATCTTATCTTTCTAAATGATTGTCAAAGGTCACAATTACTCTTATCCATTAAATGTCCAATTCGATGGCTTAGGGTGTGTTCAATAAAGTTTGAGAATTTTTTTCATTTTTTTTTGTTGAACTTTGAGTCAATTATATGACACGCTCATGGCCACCCGATTTAAAATCTAACCAAGTGCAAGGTGACCTCCTTACAGTAAAAATAAATAATTTCTTTATATACGTTTTTCATTTTTTAATTAGATAAAATATCAGTTTAATGGTAAAACCATCTCCTCATAAAAGGCCATCAAATCATCCCATTTAACCAGCAATGGGATTTTGATAATTTAGCCCTTACTAAATTGCTGGAGCCACTTGGTCAAACCTACGAACTCAGGATAATTGTTTCCAATACAAAAGGATAAATTTTTGTGGATAATTGTTTCCAATGCAAAAAGATAAATTTTTGTGTTGCTAACCTCGGAGAAAATGGGGTAAATTTGCCACGCCCCTTGATTAAAGAGAAATAACAATAGTACCCCTCTTTGTTTGGACTTAGGATCAGTGAACAATAATTTCAATGAAATGTGGCAAGTTTTGAGTTCTTGAACCTAACACAAGTAGTATTCCAAAAACTAAACATAGGTTGTTTTTAAACAAATTATTTCAGGAGTAACAATATTCATTACACTGTTAAATATAATGATTAGACCACCTAATGATTCTATAAGATAGATTGACCATTTAAATATAGAAAAGCCTTCCCTATGCCGCTAAGAAATCATATATTCTACTCTCTTAGCCATTCGATCTAAATGCATGGCTTAGACAACTTCAGCCATCGTCCGATCTAAATGCATGGCTTAGACAACTTCAGACGTAATTTCACAAGTCAGCCTCTTATTGTTTGATCTTAGATTTGGCATCTCAAATAATTTTATTTTTATTTTTATTTTTTTAACAAATCATGTTCTCATTATAAGAACATGACATTTGGTTCGTGTTATCATCTCAATAGATGCACCTAAAAGAAACTAAAAAATATATCCAAAAATAAAATGACCAAACTGTTCCAAAGCTTCTAGGGGCACCTTCATCATTTTATTTTACTAGGTATATTTTTTATAGTTTTTTTTGCAGGTGAGAGACCTTATGAGATAATGGGCACCACAATTTCGTTGTCCTAATATCTGAATCCTCCATTATTCGCCGAAATGTCCAAATCCTCCATCCATCACCCGCCCATTATTCGTCAAAATGTCCAAATCCTCCATCCAGCACCCGTCAAAATCAACGGTTCAGATTTAAATTTGGGACGGTGGATGTATTTGGAGCCGACCTCAAACTGTAGGTGTACTTGAAATTCTTTTTTTTTTTCTCACTATACCCATGCATCTCAAAATCGAGATGATCAATTGGAATGTTTTCCAACTTCAAAACACTCCATTCTACTAGATTTTTATGGTGCATTCTTGCAACCTTATATAAACTCATTCCACATTGGAAACTAGAGTTTTACATATACCAAATCACCGTTAAGAAAGGTGCAAATAACATTAAACTAGGCAGGAAACCATTGAGAAAAAGAAGCCTCTTCAAAGAGATCAGATAAAAATGGAATGGTGCAGGGAAGATTAGAATGGCCTCATGGCCCCTACCTAAATATGACACAACTTGAGACATGATCCAATTTATCTTCCCTCAAAACAAGTGAGAAGAAAAGTATATGGTAAGTGCCCTAGAAACAGAGTGTAGGTTTAGGGCATATGATAAATGTTAGATCTACTCAAGGGGGCAAATGGCCAGTTCACAACCGCCGGAGAACAAAATCTTCTAAGTATATGGAAAAATGCATTACCCACCTCACCCTACCGGTCCAAATATGCAGATTCACTCTGTTTCCAAACCATAATCCATCTTTGTAAGGGATAAAAAGCAGACTAGCATAGTACAATGTAATCTCTCTAAACTGGTGATAAAGAGGTTACAAAACTTGAGCTACTAAATTTTCTTACTACTTGCTCAACAAATTCAGCCATAAGATCCTGCTGATACCACAAAATTTTCATCAATAAAAAGGACACTTAAAAAGACTCCATTGAACTAGGGTTTCAATAAAACAGCCCAATAGAGAAAAGGAAAACAAAAAGAACAAGAAATTGGTTTTCCTCTTTGTTTGGGAGAAGAAATAGAAGCAAAGCAACTTGGAGAGTCCCGGCCTTCTGAAATCAACCTAAGCCACCAGTGCGCTGGCTGTGGTAGACTCACTGCAAAACAAAGAAAACAGAGAATGGAGGATTAGTCTACAAAATCCCCTCTCTCTCTCTCTCTCTCTCTCTCACACACACACACACACACACACACACACACACACACATACAAAACAACTCACCACAAAACAAGTGCATGAAGTTATTTGTCATCCATATTACATAGAACTTTTATAGAAATCATCACAACAACTCAATGATGTTTCAAGTTATTTGTCCAACATACTCCAAATAGTGTTTCAAAACTGTGTTCCACTTGGAACTTAGGTCCAATCGGCCAAAGCCGGTCAAACATTGTTTTGACCACTGTTAGTGGTCCAACCGTGAGGCTGGCTAGGCTAGTCACAATAACTATGCACACAACCCACTAATCCTTACAGACCACAAGGAAACACAAAAACCATTCAATGAAAATGGTTATAAGCTGAAACTGATAGTAAGAATCGGGCTACTCACTACTTCCAAACAGGTGGAAGCTTCTTTGTCCTCTTGTAGTATCGAGCCAATCGATGGATCCTACTCTCAACCAAAATCAACCTGAACTTGGAATCCTTGTCCTTTCGGTTCCTCTCAAGATGCTTCCTGATAGCTACTGCTTTTTTAATAAGATGGTACAAATCCTCTGGTATTTCTGGAGCAAGACCTGTTCACCGCGCTTCCATAAATTGGCTTGGAATGGAGCTCCAAACACCGAAGCACAAAAACAACTTCTAACATCTAAAACAAGACAGGAAAAGAGGCAGGAAGAAAATGCAGGTATACCGTGAGCTTTGAGAATTCTCAAGATCTTATTTCCAGCGACACTTCTGACCTGAGCAATGCCATGTGAATCACGAAGGATAACACCTATCTGAGAGGGGGTCAAACCCTTCTTAGCAAACTTGCAAATGCTTTCCGCCACCTGCAAAAATAATAATAATAAAAAATGATTTGTATAAGGATACATTTCAGCTTTATTACCCAAATGTAATTTGGATGTAAAAAGCTGTTGCAGGAGAAAAAGGAAGTCGAAAGTCAAAAAAAAAAAAAAAAAAATCCAAAAGATTATATCAAATCAATTTTGAGATGCATATGAAAGTGTGCTCCTTCCAACAGAACAATGGGAAAAGAGTATATAAACTGTAACATGTAAGTTGTCATGTACAATGTAACACAAATAATAATAAGGAATAGAATATATAAAGTAAGTTGTCATGTACATATATGTACAATAACAAGCGCAGATTCAGGATGCATCTTCCTTGCTACAGAGGCCACAACCCACATTTCACGTGAACTAAATTGATTTGTAATTAAAAACCTGAATGCTTAAGTACGAAAGATTAAAATACAAAAGTATAAGTCACATATGTATATGCATATTGTGTACATTATAAGAAACAATTATCAGATGTATATACTATATTTGGATACTTTTTATTCTTCTTTTTTAATTTTTTGTATACATTACTTCCCTTGCGAATAGGCTTTTCAACTAAACATTCAAGTGGTTCTAACTTCCAAAAGGATTTCAATACTTAACATGTTGGCACCATTTGTAGCATATCCAGATTCAAGTGCCATAGGAAATCCTTTCTTTTACAAAAGTAATTGGGAAACAGGACTCGATACATTCAATGTAATTCAGTGTGCAAATGTTTCTGTAAACAACAAATAAAACAACACTGTTGCACATAGAGATCATAGACAACAAAATAACATAATGAGAAGTGGCCAACTGCAACTCTTCACCTTACAAGGCTTTTCTTTTTCTTTTTTAGAATCTTACAAAGAGCTCTCGGCGGCCGCCCAAGAGCTGGACGGTCTGCTTTTTGAAACACTACTTCCATTCTTTCCTTTTCTATGATACATCCCTTCGGTCACTTTAGGTGACTTGGTATATCTCACTTATGATTTGTTCTCTCACACAACAGAAGGAGCAGGCAAAGAGGGGGAGAGAGAGAGAGAGAGAGAGAGAGAGAGAGAGAGAGAGAGAGTAGTT